AGCAGGATTTTGAATTCAATTCTGGATTTAACAGGAAGCCAATGAAGGGAAGCCAAAACAGGAGAAATATGCTCTCTCTTTCTAGTCCCTGTCAGCACTCTTGCTGCAGCATTTTGGATTAGCTGAAGGCTTTTCAGCAAGTTTTAGGACATGCTGATAATAATGAATTACAGTAGTCCAGCCTGGAAGTAATAAATTCATCAACTAGTTTTTCAGCGCCACTCTGAGACAGGATATTTCTAATTTTAGAGATATTGTGCAAATGGAAGAAAGCAGTCTTACATATTTGTTTAATGTGTGCGTTGAAGGACATGTCCTGGTCAAAAATGACTCCACGGTTCCTCAGTGTTACTGGAGGCCTAGGTAATGTCATCCAGAGTAAGCATCTGGTTAGATACCATATTTCTAAGATTTTCAGGGCCGAGTACAATAACCTCAGTTTGATCTGAATTAAGAAGCAGAAAATTAGAGGCCATCCAGGTCTTTATGTCTTTAAGACATTCCTGCAGTTTAACTAATTGGTGTGTGTTATCTGGCTTCACGGACAGATAAAGTTGTGTGTCATCAGCAAAGCAGTGAAAATGTCTCCCTCTGCAACATGTCTTCCAGCTGTGTCTGGATAAACTCACAGAAAAGTGCAGCCCATCACTTGACACTATCAAAATGCAGGTGTGCTTTGACATGAATTATACCACGAAATGTAAGTATAACCTCATTCTGACTTTATGTGGCACCAATACATGTATGTAATGTATGCTAAGCTTGCTCGAGGTTGTTCAATTTTATTTTATTTTAATTTTTTAGGTTTATTTTGCTATACAACATCTGTCTAGTCGTCTACAAATGCCAATGACCAATTATTAGCATCCATCTAGTTTCATCTGCTTATCTGGGTTCGGGTTGCAGGGGCAGCAGTCTAAGCAGAGAAGCTCAGCCCTAACTCTCACCAGCTACTTTTTCAAGCTTATCCAGGTTACATAATCTTTTCAGCGTATCATTGGTCTACCCATGGTCTCCTCCTAGTGGAACATGCCTGGAACACCTCACCGAGGAGGCATCCTAGCCGGACACCTGACCCACCTCAGCTGGCTAGTTTCGTTGTGGAGGAGTAGTAACTCCACTCTGAGGCCCTCTCAAATGACTTAACTCCTGTTTCTAAGGGAGAGGCCAGCCACCCTTTGAAGAAAGCTTATTCCTGTCGCTTGTATCTGAATCTCATTCTTTTAGGCCATACCCAGAGCTTGTAACCATACAGGGAGTGCAGAATTATTAGGCAAGTTGTATTTTTGAGGAATAATTTTGTTATTGAACAACAACCATGTTCTCAATGAACCCAAAAAACTCATTAATATCAAAGCTGAATGTTTTTGGAAGTAGTTTTTAGTTTGTTTTTAGTTTTAGCTATTTTAGGGGGATATCTGTGTGTGCAGGTGACTATTACTGTGCATAATTATTAGGCAACTTAACAAAAAACAAATGTATACCCATTTCAATTATTTATTTTTACCAGTGAAACCAATATAACATCTCCACATTCACAAATATACATTTCTGACATTCAAAAACAAAACAAAAACAAATCAGCGACCAATATAGCCACCTTTCTTTGCAAGGACACTCAAAAGCCTGCCATCCATGGATTCTGTCAGTGTTTTGATCTGTTCACCATCAACATTGCGTGCAGCAGCAACCACAGCCTCCCAGACACTGTTCAGAGAGGTAATTTTTGTGTCAACCAACGAGTCCAATCAATTGATAACCACTGTTGCATTTCCCATTATCTCCAACTTGGGTTTTATGTTTAGATGAGCTGTCTAATGCATAGAAAGCCTGGGTGTGTTAAACTGCAATTCAGCATAGCCATGCTGAACTTGTTTAACAGAGGCACTAGAGGTCATAAACCCCGATCTTAAATGATAAATTTCCAGACTAGTTAAAATGTATGTTGGTCAGCTTAGAAGCTGATTATCTGAAGCTGTCATATGTGGGTTTTAGTCATGTTTGTGCTATTGCAGTGCTCTATTTGAGTCACATACAGACTTCAGACTGCAAAACCTTGCCACAATGACTTTTGGTGATGACCTTGTGTGTTTGTGTAGGTGAGTTTCTTGAGGATATCCACCAGTCAGAAGAGTCCAAGCTGAGTCCACTGTGCAGAGAGATCACTGACAACAGGGTGAAATCAAGGAAGGAATTAGATGGCCTTTACCAGAAAATCACCACTTATATCCTGCAGCGCTCTGCTATGGGTTCGCCTACAGATACCAACACTATGGAAGAGGCTACAGGTCTCATACTACTTTTCATTGTTCCAACTACAATGTCATGTCTGCATACTGAAAATGTAATGCCACGTTACACCAAAGGCTGCGCTACTAATTCTAACCCCAGATCATCGAGACAGCACTTTCTGCTATTCTCAGTGATTCTCCAACATGTGTCTTGTGAGCTGACTATGAACTTCAAAACATTTCTGATGAACCACAAGTCGGTTCATATTATGTAACATCAGACTTCCAGTTAGAAAGATCAGGTTCTGAAAGGGAGCAAATTGTCAGCAGTTTTCTGAATGGAATCTCTTCTATTCACAAAATAAATGAACAATTTTACATAATATGGTGCTGCAGAGGTTCCCGGGGGGGTATAAAGAAAAAAAGAAAGCTTGGACACTTTGGCTTCACCTGCACAAGTGCCGAGGTAGGTCTCTGCGACAGAATTAGTTTCCCTTGCATCGGCAGCACGCGCTGGGTTGTCCAAATCACGGACAAACAGTATCCCACATTCTTTATTTTTAGTTCACAAACACTTGTTGTAATAAATAACTACTCCTGACATTTTGGAGATGTTAGCTCTTTATATAGTAAAGTTACAGTGGGATACAAATAATATCCGGCCTGTCCTACCACGATTTGTTTTCCCCAGTTCAAATCAAGGACAAACAGTATCCCACAGTTGTTTATGTTTTTGAACCCATTTTGCACAGAGGCGCATTTTTTGAGAAATGTATCGATAGCAATGTTGAATATTACACAGGAAAAAAACAACTACACGTAAAATAATTACACCGTGACGCCTCTGCCTTTCTAAATGGAGGGACAGTAACTGCGTGTGTATACATAAGCGTGTAAAACCTGAAGATAGACAAAATACTGTTAATCTTACTATCTGCCATTCTGCAATTCATCTCATGTAAACAACGTGGCGCACAGGGACGTGAAAAAAGGCACCACTCGTTGCGTGACGAACTCTGTATTCCTTGTCCACACGTAAACGCAAAAAACTGCGTTTTTAAAAAAAAATCTGTTTTCAGTGATTCGAAACTCCGTTTACGTTTGGACGAAAGGTCCAAACGCGTAGAAACAGCTGCGTTTTCAAAAATACCCGTTTAAGTGTGGACGTAGCGTAAAGTTTAGTTGCTGGGGGGGCCCGAACATTTTTTCTTGTAAAACAATGGGGGGCACAGCAAAAAAAATTTTGGGAAACACTGATGTAGTGTAACAATTAGCCATGCAGTGAATGATGCTGGTGGTGGTAATAATGATTATACATGCAGTGTGTCTAACGTTTGACTTCTCTTCTTCCTTTGCCATAGCTGTCCTGCAGAGCGTCTTCCCTCAGGCTGAACTGGGAAACTTTCGAGTGGCCTTAAAGAGAGACCAGGAGCAGCAGCTCAAAGAACTCACCATGATTGTTACTGGGATCCGACTCTTCAACAAAGCCAACAAGAGGGGTGAAGAGGAGGTTGACATCCATGAACTAAGTACAGTTTTTATGCTTATTTTTCACTTTGCCAGCTTGAGATTGATTGTTAGAAGACCTCTACTGTAGATTTAGCTCAGTGACTGTCTCTTTGCTATTTGAAATTATAAGCAGTCGCATGCAGTTAAAATACTTTTAAAAACATTTGTAGGCCGACCAACAACATTGGCCGACAGTTCACCAAATGAAATGAAATGTCTTCATAAACCAAAAAGTCCAGCTGTTTTCGTTTCAAGCCTGTAACACTATAGACCTTGCTCCATAATGGTGGTTTGAGTGTTGTACGACTGGGCAGAGGGGAGGGAGAGGGGACACCTCTGCAAAACGCAGTTTCAGTTCAGCAACATCCACTCTGTAAACCTGTGACAATCTCCCCAGTGTGTGTAGCTTTGCGCTGAGGGTTGGAACGTACACATCTTTTTTTTTCTTGGTTGGGCTTGGACCTTTTTTGCCGTTTTCTTTAATCAGGTTGACAACTTAAGTGTCCGAGACATGAATGAAGTGCCCTGGTCAGTCAGTATCTCTTTCGATATGCCGACTCTGGAGATGACCTGAAACTGCGTCTACACGACACTCTTTGGTAAAGTGGTGCACAGCAGCATTGCTTCAGGTTATCCTGTTGCATAATCCACCAGAACTAATACAAAGTGATATCCCTCTGCACTCCAGTGAAATGGCTTCATGGTATGTGGCTGCAGAATGTGTGAAGTGATGATGAGGTGGACCCAAAAGGAGAGAATCAACAGGCGTGAAACTGGGACTTCACAAAAACCGAGCAGTTTTATTCCTAGATTGCACGAAAACGCAAACAAGGGACGAGCGGAGATAGGACTAAACTAGCAAGACAGTTAAACTGGGGAAACTAAACACTAGGAACCTAAAACATGAAATGCACATATGAGACAAGACGGGCTGGGGAGAACACACGTGGATGCACATGACAGACAGGGGAGACAAAGAATAAAGCACAATGAGAGGAACACGTGTACAGAAAAAGGAGACAAAACATAACGACTGGACACACAGAGGGCGAGGGAGCTATATGCACAGAAACGTAAACACAGACAACAAGACAGATTCTCACAGGAGGCACAAAAAGGACCTAGCAGACGAGAGACTAAACTGGGAACACAAGAAAACTCAGAAACATAGAAAGAATAAACTCAAAACGAACTAGAGAAACTTACAACATCATTATAATACAAAAACACAATAAACTCAAAATGCTGGGTCCAACACCTAGAATTACAAATGGCCTGATGAGGTTTGCACCAGTGAGCTCAAACGGGACGTCCATTAACAGGAGTGGGTGCAAGGGTGCTTTTGGAAAGGGGGCTGGTTCACCAGCTGACATTCTGGGCAGGGCGCACGCTATTGGTGCATGTTTTCCTGTGTTCTCCTAGTAGTTTTCTATCTGTTTCCCAGTTTAGTTCCTTAGCTTCCCAGTGTCATAGTGCTTTGATTTTAGTTCATATTTCTAGTTCCTCGCTTTTGGCTTTGTTTGTTGTATGTTTAAAGAGTCATTTACAGCCAAAATAAAGCTGCCACTTTTAGTTCTCACCCTTGCGTTTATAAGTCCTGCATTTGGGTCCTACATCCTGCCTGCCACACAGTGAGCCTTGACATGTAAAGGCACTCAGCCTGGTCTTGTAGCCAGTTGAGCTGCTGTTGATGCACCAACACCTGCTCCCAATGCATCAACTCCACCACAATATCTGCCAGCGTCACTCAACTGCGTTAGTCATAGGCCCATCGTCCCACAACTGGGTTTCGGTACCAATCGTGACAAAAAGATCCAACGCACTCAGCATCACAAAGTAAGTGAACGGTTTTTTTGTGGTGCTTCACACTCTTTAGTTTCTGCAGGCCTCCAGCTGCCTCCTTCAGCACAGCACACAGCTCTGGCATCAGGTAATTTTGTCCAACTCAAATAGGGGAGGCATGATTGATGATGGAGAGCTGCTGACCACACCCTGAATCTATCACTCCACCCCTCCATTGCAGCTGAGCCACAAATCACACCCCATTACATATGCATATGTTCACCTTAGATGTTGAGGGTTTCTGTGGGGAGGTTTAACTGTGGACAGTACTGTTTTAAAGAATCAGTCAGGTTCAGCCACTGACACAAGTTGTTACATCAAAAGAGGAAACAAACAGGTTACTCACAGGGCTGGGGGAGGCTTCAGGCTCTTACCCAACTCCACTCTGTCAGGCCTCTTTCCAGTGGTGATGGCAGCCAGCTCCAGCTCCAGCATCTCCCACATGTCAGCTTTGTGTTCTGTGTCCTGTGCTGTCACAGGGCTATCACGCCCTGACTCGGGTCCTCTCTTCTCTCCAGTTCTCCTCGTCCTATTCTTGCTTTCTAGTTCCCCCGCTGGATTTTCTCTTCCAGTCTTTCTTCAGCCTACTCAATCTTAATTCGGGGCATGATAAAGTCCAGCTGAATGTATATAGATTCACAAAACACACAGATCTAACAACAGTGATATTTATACCTTTTTGTGTTCTCCTTGCAGTGCCTGCAGTTCTTCAAGAGGCTCTTCCAGTCACCAGTAAAAGCATAGCAAATGAGCTGTGTGTGACACAGACTTTGGTGTTCAAGTACACTGCTGTGCTGGAGAAGCTAACAAGCTCTGATGTTCAGCTGGGACATTCTGACATGCCCGTTATTCTCCTCAAACAGGCTTTGTACAATGCCAGACAGCATGAAGTTTTCCTAAAAATGTTACTGGTAAGGTGGCAGTAACTTTAAACAAAATGTTAAAAACATGGTATTTACATGGAGACTACACCTGTTATAACAGTGATATCAGTCATTTAATAATAACAATAGTACCAACTTTTAGTGCTTTGCAAAAGTCTTGAGCTAGGAAAAAAGAAATGGGTGCAGTAATTAATTGAAACATGTGTACTACAGTATATTAAGACAGTGTTTTAAGCTGTGTACACACTGAAAGCTATTTGATCACCACATGATCATCATGAAGCTGACCACTGGGTGACTGGCCTGAAAGTTGAGCGAAGTTTATCTTGGGTCACGCCCACTTTCTGACTGGGGAGGTTCACCCATAGATGGCTGAAGCCACCGAATGTCATTTGTATGATCTCTCGTAGTGAAATCACTACAAAAAGCATCCAGTGCGTACATAGATAAAAGGAAAAACTGATTGTATAATTCTGAATTTAAAAGTCGGCAGCATTTAAGAGGATAAATAAATTTTTCCAGTGGGCGACTATCATAGACTAATGTGAAGTGTGCATCAATTAAAGCCTGCATAATTATAGAGTAGTGGTAACAACACAACATGAAGTGTACATTTTAAGTACACTTATAAAATAACTGCATAATACTTTAACAATAACTAAACTAACAACCTTAAATTGCAGCTGAATAATATTGTCAAATAATAAAACTGAAAAATATTTTCTACCTGGATGTTGCATCCTGGGTCGAGCTCTTTAACCAGCTGTTTTACCAACCATATGGTCACAAAAGTGATGATCAGGCTGAAATAATTGAATACTGTTATTTCAGCCTTAGTCTCATTTTGGTTATTGAGTATTTTTTCCTTGAGATACTCACTATTAAAAGTTTGGACAATAAAAAAAGCACAAAACGAAACAAAGCATGCACAATGTTCTGTGTACGCCCATTGCTATTATTTCATATGTACCACTGGGCATTTTAGGCTATTTTCATCTTATTGAAGGTGATTTTTTTTTTATATTAAAATATTTAGTGAAATATTAATTTTCCTGTACCACCAGGCTGATGCAAATTCATGTGCTAAGCATGTTGAAACCCTGCTGAGTGACGTCTCAACACAGATGAAGCTGCTAAAAGAAACTGTGCAGTCAAAAACAGCAGCACCAGCTGCAACAGTTTTCGTAAGTTGCTTTGTTTTGAAGTGTTCTTAAGTTGTTACAGTTAATGTCTTTTTATATTTCATCTGAAGGAATAGATGGAAGTGTGTACAAGATTTTCTTTCTCCTTGATTCTTATATTTGTCTGTACCTAGAGTCTTTATTTTGTCATTTCTCATTCTTTTTCAGCCATTATTCAAGATACTGTCAAAGTTATGGTTTGAACTTCGGGATGAGGGTGAGTTCCTGTACATGCTCAATAAAATCATGCTCAGACTCCAGCCCTTCTCTGCCTCCCAGGCCAGGATTTTCTCTGAAGCATATCTAGAAAGTCTGTTGGAGGACTCAGAGGTGAAGACAGACGAACAGAGAATGCTTGAGTCTTCAGGTATGGCTTTGGTCACCCACAGAAACAAAACTGCATTTTCCACAAGAGTTACAAAAAAGAGAAATGAAGATCTATGCTTTTGCCAGTCTTAAATGTGGTTGTGATTTATTTTGTCTTTCAGATAACTGCATTGATCCAGCTTCCCTGAAGACACAGGAATGGCTTTTTCCTGAAACAACAGTCAATTTTGAGGAAATGCCCCTACAGTATAATGGATTCTGTGGCTACACACTTGTAACCAGAGATGGCCTTCTACTTCCAGGTACGATTCCAGTGTGATGGTTTTTTGCTTAGGTAAAACACATTTAGGTGTGTGAGTAAAGGTGTCAGCTTTCTTTAAAAACACTCATGAAGTTGCAGGGAATTATGAAGTTGTTCTCTGAATGGTCACAAAGGTGGTGACCAAAGCCTCTTCATAACTATAATTAGTAGTCTGTGGGAGCGCTGTTTGGCGTCACTCATTAAGACCAGACTGAATGCTAACAACGTGTTAATTCTCTCCTACGTGTCAGCACATCAAATTTTTCCACCTATGACTAACTAAATAAATAAATACTGCAGTATTAGGTTGACACTGATTTACAGGACATGTACCTGTTTTTGCAGCTGGACTGTCTCTTTCACAGCCCTGAATTTCTGAACCAGAGTATTAAAATGAATCATAAAGGTGATATACTAAGATTAGCAGCAGACAACTTGAGTAAAGCTGTCCATCAAGTAAGCAGGCATGGCTGTGATTGTTGCCACTATGATGTTATTGGAAAGCATAAATGATGGGGATTACCAATAGTTTTAAGTACAGTGCCAAAGCTTCAGGTCTCTCCCACAGAACAATTTCACTGACCTTATTATTAAATGTTTAATTCTATCACAGTACTACCCTATCACTTGATTTCACTGAGCTCCTGAGAGCAACCCATTCTTTCAATGTTTGTAGAACCAGTCTGCATGCTTAGGTACTGGATTTTATGCACATGTGGCCATGAAAGTGATTGGAACACGGGAATTAGCTTATTTTGATGCAGCATCATTCCCTCTTATCTCGGACGAGCGCGGATCCACCTTGATCCAAGTATTAGGACTGTTAGCCAATACAAGTCTTTGATGATAAGGCTAATATGAGTGTTTATCTTAGTGAAACTTCTCACCTGTGTAATTAGACACATTAATCGGTTAGTTAACTGGGCACTCAAAGCACTTCATCACATAAGACTTCATAGAAGCACTTTTTTTCTATACTTAAGCACCTTGTCTAACATTCAGTCTCCTTCTCTGATGGGTGGATCAGGGGGAAGATTGTTTCATTAACTTCAAATTAAATGAACATAGAGTAGATCAAAGGGAGGCTGTAGACCAATATTATATTAATATTTATCTCTTGCAGGTAATCCATACATCGGAGCCCTGAAACACAAGGAGAAGCTCTATGTTTTTACCTCCAAAGAAGCTGCCATGAAGTTTGCCCTTAGTCCAGACAGCTTTGTTGCAGAGGTTGCAGAAAAAGCCAAATACTCCCCTGAACTCATTCAGCTCCTCAAACTCCACCAACAGTTTTCCTGTATTAGTCCATACTCTGATGTGAGCAGACTCTCACAGGTAACTTTCTAATAGCCACAACACACACTTCAAAAACATTTAATGAAATTCACAGGAGCTTTTAAAACTTATGTTTGGACAATCTGTTGGTAGTAACTGATTTCGACTTTTGGTTTGGCAGACCCAGCCAAGAAAGGGTTTACCGGTGAAGCCAGGTATAAAATGTGAGTGTGGCACTCAGACTGAAATTCACCCTGTGGAGAAAAACATTGTCAAGTCATATGAGTGGAATGAGTGGGAGCTTAGACGAAAAGCTCTCAAATTGGTGAGACACGTTCATTAAATTTTCTCACTTTGTAGTCTGATGTGTGCTAAGTGTTGAAACCTATAGTAATACTTAACGGTGTTATTACTTAAAAGTATGACATTTTCTACAAACAGCGTTAGGTAATATATTAAACTTGTAACCTTTTTCAGAGAGACGTGTTTGTCATTCATTTAAAATGTACAATGTAAACTGTTCTGTTTTTGAATGATTCATGAATGTGAAAAGACTTATCAGCAGTAGCAGAATATCAAAAGTCACAGAACAGAATAGTAGTATGGGAACAGTTGAGAGGCCACCCTGCCTGGAGCTGTCCAGTGGATTGCACAGATTTGTCACTTCCAGACAGGTTCAGCCCGTTTACTCACTTTCCATAAGAAAGCCACAACTCGGGGTGGAAAATGCCATAAAGTAAGCAGCGGATCATGGCCTAGACTCGGCATTGTTTATCCCACTCAGTGAGTCTACAGGTTAGATTAGTCTCACGTTTGTGAAAGGCATTGGAGGCTGACAATGGAGATGGAGAACCTCAGGAGCCCACCTGATGGTGACGAAGACCCTCAGGAGACCCTGGAATTCTCTGTCAGCCACGGTCAATTCTGACTACCTTCTTTCTGGCCCATAAAGGGAGTAAATGGGCTAAACCTTTCTGGAAGTGGCAAATCTGTGCAATCCAACTGGACGGCTCTAGGCAGGGCATGGAAGTAAGTGTCATGAACGAAAACAAACGCGCATATGCAGGGTGGCCATCCGACGCTCACAGTTATAGTAGCTTTTTGTTTGATGTGTCCTGATGCTCTTTCTTTCTGTCTCCATGTTTTACAGTTTTACAATTTGATGTGGTTTTATCAGAAGTTACATTTTCCTTCATAAGTGTCCCTTCTGATTGTGCTTGGATTATCTTTTCAATTATGTGCTATAGTGTTGGATTGTTTTTTCTTATATAATTTTCTTGTGTACTTTATGAGAGAACTTCATAGACCTCATAGCACCTCAATGACATGCAGAAATGCTCACATTTACACGTTTTAGCAGATATTAGTTTACTGTACATTTATACTTACTATAAATGCAGTAAGTTTATAGTAAGTATTTTAAGTGCTTAAAGTCTTTGTGTGTATGTTTGTGTGTCGATGTGTAACTTTGCTGCTTTTATTAAGAATGAATATGAATATGTTAATTTCTTGGAACAAGGCGTCCCACGGCAGCCTCAGGTTCATCTTTACCTGTACAGCTTTTGTCATTAACAACCCTTCTCTAAATGAACATTGTGCTGTCTGTGTTCTGAGCCTATATCCAGTGAGCTGCAGTTCTCTGGGAGAAAATACTTTGTTGATATTAGTTATCAGAGGAGAATGGCCTAATATCTTTGGGCTGGACAGGAACTCTAATAACCACTTATTACATCTAATGAATGCAGAAAGGTCTCTTTGAACACATCACACTTTGAATCTGGTACAGTATGTATGTGCTCAAAAAAATTATCAGATAGAATAGAATAAAACAGACACGATAGAAAATAGCCTGGTCTGAAGAGTCTAGTTTTTTGCCACAACATTTGAATGTAGTGTAAAAATGTGGTGTAAACACCATGAACAGGACATTTAAGGCCAAACAAACAGACTGAGAAAAAGCGCATACACCAGGGCTGTTGCATTAATAAATGCAGGGAGATAAATCAATGCAAAAACACAACCTTCAACTGTGCAACATTTTCTTTTTTTTCTTTTTAGCTGTGCAATATTCTTCTTCTTCTTTTAACTGTGCAATATTTCCAAGGAACCGTGCAATATTCTAAGGACTGAATCACTGTGTGTATTCTCACTTGTTCATTCTGATATACAGTCTTGTACATACTATATTTTTTTTCTTTGTTTAAAATTTATTGTACAGATATACTTCTTTTTCTTAAAAGTGCCCTTTTTTTACTTGTACTGAACGGGTTTGCATACAGTTTTCGTTGTTCGAAAGCACACTGACAGTAAAGATTGTGGTTCTGGAAACCCTGATCCATCTTGCCTTGGATCAGCAGCCCAGGTTGCTCCTGGTGGTGGTATAATGGCATGAGGGATATTATCTATGCATACTTTGAAGTCCATTAGTAGCAACCAAGCATTTTTTTAAATGCCTGGGTAGTATTGTTGACCTTTCCCATCCCTTTATAGCCACAGTGTAACCACCTTCAGATGGCTTAACACATCCTGTTACAAAGCTTAAATCATCTCAAAAGGATTTTATGAACATGACAATGAGTTGTCATTGTAGCACTGAAATGGGCTTCACAGTCACCATCGCAGTCCAACAGAGTACTTTTAAGAACTTTTATAGTGGATTATATAGGATAGGATTTCGAACGGGATTTTCATCATGTATGTGGAAGCCAATGAACGTGTAGCAGCTATGTGATGCTATTGGACCAAAATCCTAAAAGGATTGTTTCCATCACCTTGTTGAGTATATGCTACAAGAACTGAGGGAGTTACGAAAGGCAAACTCTAACCTGGTACTAGCAAGATGTAACTAACAAAGTTAACTGGACCTTACTGTATTACAGTGGTTTCAAGAGTTGGGTTCTGTTTTGTTTGTGTCTCAATGCACGACTTTATTTACTGACCTTTCATTTCCATGCTTCATATCTCTAGGCCAATCTTCAGACCAGAGTTACCGTTTCAGTACAGACTGACCTGAGTCACATGAGGCGGGAAAATGTCACTCAGACCTGGCTTCCTAAGAATGCTGCCAGTCAAAGCAAGAGAGATGGTGCAAGCCAAGTGCCTAAACCTCAAACCTTTGTAGCAGGTCTGAGAGGACAAAGGGGTGCACATGTTGTCAAAGCAAACCTGACCAGATCTGTGGATGATTAAAGAGAAATAGTTAACAAAATAAAAGTTGATGTAAGAATCTTCTTGTTGTTTTTATCCTTTTTCTTTTATATAGCCTATACCCTCTGGAAACACCACCTGCAGTGCTTTTGTTTACAGCACTTGACCCTAAAATTTTAAACCCTGGAAACATGATTCCTGGACTACACCAGACAAGATGCCTAGCTCTAGGTTGAAGGTATGATTCCGTGGCACTATGCAGATCAGCATCCACTAACCCCATGCCTAACAAGCCTAGGTGCTTGATTTTATACACCTGTGGCTGTGAAAGGGGCCATTGGAAGACCTGAAATAAATGATTTGGATAGGTGAAAGAATACTTTTGGCAGTATTGTGTAGCAGCTCTCACATCTCTTTCTCTCTCTTTCTCACTCACTCACTCACTCACACACACACACACACACACACACACACACACACTATTAATAAAGTCTGTGTGATTAGTTTCAGGTTCACGCTCCGGTCACAGCTGGCTTTTTTGATACACCCGGGGTATTGCATGTCATGTTAAACATACATTATCTTTGTTAAGAACAGCAGAAACTGATCCAACATGCCCCAATTTCTCCTTGTTTATCTGAATGCAAGTAGCTACCCTTTGTAACCAAAGAGTCAGGAAGTGTATCTGAAAGTGATGCAGGTCTGTGGTGGATATTTTTCAGAAACAGACACAGGAAACAATAACTAAAACTAAAACCAGGACAAATTGAATCTTGACATTTGCAAAATCATAAATAGCACTCATTTAGTGATCTTTAATTCCAAAAGGCAATCACTACCTTTAATGTAATGGTTGCACAGGAGATACTGTGAGCAGTGTCTAAGTACATAGCTTGTGCATCTTATTAACACAGGCAGTTAAAAACGCCATCCTTTGAAGCAAGTGGTCGTATACAGTCAACATCATATACATTATAATAATCTGTAATACAGCATGCCTTGTTCCATGTCTTGGTTTTCTTTGTAAGCTTTGCATTTTTGTATCACTTGGAAGCATTTTAAAACACACCTTCTTGCATTGACACTAGCCTAGAGCTTCACTTAATAATGTGAACAGTAAGATAAGACAAGAGTGCATACACAGATAGTGACTACATTAACATGAGGCTAGGAGCGGTGTTTAAAACAGTATGAGCATCATAATATCACAGTATGATTTAAGCACGTTTTCTTTTTCCCCCCTTAAAAGGTACACAGTGAGTACGAGACTATTTTATTTTGGGGGAAATTATCTGCTCAAACAGCCAATACGATGGCTGAAGCTGCAGCCGATGCACAAGTTCATGAAGATGGAGTACTGGCAATGGCCATCAGATGCTGGCTGCACAGAAATCTCCAACTGCATAGAATTTCATTGATAATGTCCCAAACTGTCCAATCCCATGTTTTTCACATCAAGATTGATTCTCCAGAGCTAAAATCCTTCCTCCTGTTAAAATCCATCAAAAAGGTATTAAGGCTAGAATTGTATGTTTTGGACCACATTTACTCGTTTGACAGGTGTCACAGCCTATCAGGTGTCAGTCCTGGTGGATCCGTGTTCCACTGACGTCCATCCATTTGAATTTTCCAGACTGCAGGCGAAGGGGTAAACCCAAGTCAAATCAAGATCTGTAATGTCACTGCCACAGACAATCTACACCTCCTAAATATGTTCGTTTAAGGTACAATAACAAGGGCACGATGCACACTGACAGTAACAGCAAGTCCCTTTTATACTCTCAAACCCATCGTCTCAAACCATGTTTCATGGAGAATATGCAATAGACATTCCTCTTTCATTATGGCTCTTCTTCCATTCTATTTTCATTCTTTCATTGAGAACAGGTATAGTTACTGACCCCTCATTCAATACTTAGGAGACAATATCAGGCCCTGAGATAGTGTTAAAAGAGGTCAGACATTGTACAGAGACAATGGCTAAGGTTGGGGATCATGCACAGACAACATGTGGCATGTTTTTAGTCACATTTCAATGCACATTTTAAGAATCTATTTTTAATAGGCAACATGACAACTAACACATCATAAGAAAGTCAGGCCTTTATGTTTTAATGTTCCACACAGCATTTTTTTTTCTGTTTTCATATTTATTATGCTTGAGACACAGATGAAGTCACAACAAAGTTGTACGTCTGTGTGTACACATAAGACCTCATTTAAGACACCTCCAATTCTGTCACTGACATCCAAACCTGATACTTTCATCACACATCTAACAGTGCCAGTTCTCTTTTTAAGTCTAATTTTTTAATGCTAACACTTTTGAATCTGGAGAGTGATCTGCATCAGCTTATTTTTTACAATTTCGCTGGTTCTTTACAAACCACATCATCTGCATGGTTGGACACATTGGTAATTGCTGCCATGTCTAAATGTTTCTGGATCATTTCTAAAAGCGGGACCCCGTGTAGATGGTCAGAACAGTTTCTTGTAGCTCCGCCCATGCCAAAACTTTATATGTTTGTTTATATTTCATTTCAAATTCAAGTGAAAGTGCAGTGTACAGAAGAAACAGTGCTGACTAACAACTTGTGGTTGTATATGACATGTACTGTATACTATGACAAAACAGAAAATTCCCTTTCCCACTTGGACAATTGAAATCTCTCCATGGGATACGTGTGTATCTTTATAGATTATAGCTGAGTACAGTACAATTGAGAAAAACAATGGACATAGCTGACAACTTTTACTATAACTTAACAATCATTTGTCAAAGAACAATGACAGAAACCCTTCCAGGTCTTGATTTATAGAAAGTAACATCTATGCCTCAGATCCATAGAGCCCATTGAATATGTGACCATTACTGTATATATCAAAAAGGAAAGGTTCTGTCCTTGCTCAAGCACACACAGGAATAAGGGAGAGGCACTAATGGTGGTATTTAAAAACCCATCTGTAGGATCATGCAGAGTCTATCTTAATATGGAGATCTGTATCATGGGTTTTGTCATCCTCGTTCTCTTTGGTGTGCTCCTGTATAAGCCCATTTTGCAGCTTGCAAGCTTCCACAAACAGTGGAAAATCCGACAAACTGGTGTTGCATTCCTTGTCTTCGTTTTCATCCTCTCCTTCGTCTTTTCTTCTTCCTTCATCTGTCGTAGGTATGCTGCAGTCAAAAGCAGGTATGCTGTAACCGTACGCTTCACTATGAGGCCGGCGAGTTTCATCTGGGATGTTTTTCTTTAGGTCTCTATTCCTATTACGCTTGGCTAGCTTGGTGACGGAGCCAAGGCGATTAAAAATGTTGTCCTCAGACATGGTTTGGGAGCTGGAGCGTCGGTCACACTGTTCGGCCTCTCGCAGTCGAAGGTTGTTTAGCTTAGTGTCGATACTTTCCTGGGAAGAAGTCTTATA